TGAACTTGATTAGATTTACAAAAGAAATAAGGGGAAATATGATGACATTAAAAGGGATGAAATGGAAGTGGTTAGGAAGAAATGCATACATTTGGGATGAAACTCTGATTTCTGGCAAAATCATTTTCTGAGAAGCACTTACAGAGTAAGTGTTTGGTGTTTAATAGAATAGAGACTAATGCTGATGGAAACCAAAAGAAATCTTTGAGGCTGAATAAGGAAAGTCAGGGAATTCAAGGACAATGGAGAGGTATGTAGTGGGTGACTGCTCTGATTAAAAGGTCAGACTCTGCTGGGTGCACATAAAAGGTCTCTCACGGGGCTGTGAAGCATTGCCAAACCTGATCTTCCTCATTAATTCCTTGGCCACAGACTGGGCCACAGCTCTCACCTCCAAAAGCAGTTTATTTGGGCCACAGCTTTTCATCACCCCACAGGCATGTCAGGCAGATTCCCAGTGTTCCTGTCCTTCAGTGGAATGGCATCCCTTTGGAAGTGGGGCCAGGGAGGTGTGGGATGGACCCATTCTGGTACTGTGGCTCCAGCAAAGCTCCCATGCTGGTCACAAGGGATCTCTTCCTCCTCAGAGAGCCTGGCCTAGCAGGGTGAGGAAGTTCAGGAAGGTTTGTCTGTGCCCCTACACAAAAAAGGGGACACTCAGATGCATTTTATCATTATTATTATTATTATTATTATTGTTGTTGTTGTTGTTGTTGTTGTTGTTGTTGTTGTTGTTATCATTACTTTCATCCTTCTCTAAATTTCTCATAACACTTAGATAGCTCCAGAAGCCTCAAGTGTGTATCCGTGGGTTTTACTGGAAATGTTTACATTCCTCAAACCATGGTGAAATTTATTTCTGTGCACACAAAGCACAAGCCTCTCTAAATCCCACTTAGTCTCTCTTTTGGGACTGTGTGACACTTTGACTTCCCTGGCTCCCAGTAGCAGGGTGAGCCTTCCCCAGGGCCTGGAAGCCAAATGTGAGGTTTTGTTCTTGGGTGTGGATGTACAATAGCCTTGGTGACCATTACCTACTGCACAATAGTTCTGGAAATTGCACTAAATGAGATGAACAGGGATTAGAGTCTTCAGAATTCCTAGCAAAATAATACAGATTAGCAGAAAGTGTGTTTTTCAAAGGCAATATAATCTGCTATGTTTGCCTTCCTGTTAGAAACCTAAAGTTGAAAACCCAAGGGGATAAAATTGTTTATTATAGGCTATAAAAATAATAATAATGGGAAAGTATCTATTAAAAAGAAAATACAGAGAAAGAGAGAAATAGTGACTTTCAGAGATGCTGGACACAAAGGCAATGCCAGCCACACTTTCCTGAATGTAGTCTCCTTCCGTTTCTCTCACCCTTTCAACATCATGTCAAAATGATGGAATCTGAAGACTTCAGACATTTGTCTGGAATTTCTGGATATTTCAGAGTCTGGTCAAAGAAGCAGCTCTTATTTCCAGACATCTCATGTCTCAGAGAATGCATCCCTGTTGTGCAGGGGCATGGCTTTCTGTCCAGGAAGACCTGGATGGAGACCTGGGAACCTGTGCTAGATCACCAGCTGCTGAAGGCTGCTGGGGTGCCAGAGACTGCACCTGACTTCCCCAGGATTTCTGCACCTGATTTCCCCAGGATCTGCACCTGACTTCCCCAGGATTTCTGCCCTGGGAAAGCCAGGAGGATCACCTGCTAAAGCAAGAGTCTCTCAGGTGATCTTTGGTAGCAATGAGATCTCAGGGTCTGGGGAGCAGATGGGTCAGGTGCTGCAGCCTGTGCAACCGACTGGAATCTGAAGAATTTCAGTTAATATTTACATCCAGTGTTTACCCTTTGATAAGGAACAGGTCATCCACTAAAATGACATAATATTGGTAGGTTGTCAAGGTGTTTGCTTTGTGTTTTGCACACTTGTTCTCTTCTGGAGAACACTTATGTGCTGTAGTTTGATCCGAATCAACAGCTGTGGGTTTCCCCTTTATTTTCATGGGGCTATCTGTATAAGAAGGGCAATTACACAACAAGAGAGCTAGGAAGGTTTGAACTCTGATTGTGTTTATTAAGGAAAATTCTCATTCTTGCTTCTGTGATGCAAAGATTGTGTTGGTCACTTCAAGGGAGCTCCACAAGTCCACAAATTATTGCAGACTGTGTTATGTGGCAGGGACCATTTTTCCCGGGTTTTGAGGGCAAATCACAGAGAGAATACCTCTGTGTCTGGTGGGTGATGATTTGTTTGGGCAAGCATTGTAGAACACTGCAGGTGAGTTACAGATCAATTATGGCACCTGGCAAACTCTAAATGAGGTCAAACAAGACCAAACTGTAATTATAATAAATCTTGCCCTTATAAGACAGGTAAGTTGTTCACTGACTGTGGTTTGGAGCCACTAGGTTTTCTCTGTACAGTTAATTTGCCAGACATGAGGCTTTGGCATACTGAGTTGATTGCAAAGAATTCAAGATTGTGCAATGCAAATCACCTTTCCCTAGAACAGAACAGGTTGATATGGATGGAAGTTAAGTTAGTCTCTGTTTTTAACAACAAAAAACAGCAAGCAAACAACTTTGGAATGTAATAGGTTGATAGTGGTTTTATTTCTTCCTTGAGCATGGGGTGGATATACTTCCCTGCATGCTTACACTGTTACTACACTTCCCTTCATCTTTCACTGGTTTTGGTTCTGCTACACTTTAACATTTTTCTTCTTGCTTTCAGTGTTTACAATGCAAGTTTTGCAAGTGGGTCTGGAATGGCACATTGTATTCCAGCCTTGCCAGAATGTATCTGAGACCCAGAGGCAGCACAGTCCCCGAGGGAGCTCTACCACCTCCCCATGAGAGCAATAATCATTGCTCATGTCAGCTGAGTTTTAAGGACATTCATGATTTTCTCTTACATGGCAAAGAGAGGGCAGTTTCCTCACAGTTCTTTGAACACATTGAGATAAACAATTCTGCTGCCAGGGTTTTAGGAAATACCCTCTTCAAAAGAAATAAGACAAGTTTTCCCTAAGGTGTGTTTCAGTATCAGTCAGAGCTTCTTACCTCAGTCTTCTAAGGTACTGAAATGGCATTTCCTACTACTTCTGGTGTCATCATCAAATCCTGAGTCAAAAATTCTTCTCTGTATTGCCAACTTCACTGTAAATCCAATGAGGAGCTTGAAACAATGGGGGAAAGGAGATCTTGAGAATGACTGGTGTAGGAAACCAGGAGAGCACTTCCAATGATAGACATGAACTAAATCACAACAGTTACTTGGATTCCAGACATTGCTGTGAAAAGTTAGAGCCAAATTCTCACTGTAAATCAGGGTGGCTCCATGAACTTCCATGGAACTGTGCCAGCACATCCCAGACAAGGACTTGGCTCCATCTGTTTACAGCAAGAGCTGCTTGGAGAGGTTCCACTGGGAGAAAAATTTAATTAAAAAAGGGAGATAAGAATGACAGAGCAATCTATCTTCTGGATCTCCTGTGGAATGTGGCTCCTATGGGGTTTGATCCTGTGCACCCACAGCACCTCCAGGTCCTGCTGAGCTCTCCCAGGGGTCACTGCCCTGGCCCAGACCTCCAGGGCACCCCTAGGAAATGGAGCTGCAGTGGGACACACCCTGGTACCCTCCCAGTCTGCACTGAGTGTCATTGAAATCATTCAATGATTCTTTTCATCAGTGGTTTCAGAAAATCCAAGGTTTTCCTTTCACCAAGTATCTAAGGTTTTTGTTTCTTTAAATTCCTCAACACACCGTGGTGGAAAGGATGGGGAATGGCATCACCAGCCACTGATGCTTCTTATTTCCTTTGTGACCCTGTTATTCACAGACAGACAATTAAATTTCACAACTGTGTTTTAAATCATCTGTGAAGAGGGAGAGAACTCCAAACATCCTTGAGTTGGTTTCTTACTAAAATGTTAAAAAACAAGACAAACACCCAGGCAAAAAAAAAAAAATCCAACAAAAAACCAGCAGGCAAATTACCACTTTGTGATGTTAGGCTGTTTTCATTTCCCAGAAACTAGTTAATTTATATAGTGTGCCCCACCAGTCCAAGTTTCATTTATAGATTAACTTGTGTATTTTGGCTCCTATCCATCCCTTCCTTTGGCTCAAAATGAATGATACCAGGACTGTCTTTGAAACAAGGCAGGAATGTGATTTTTTTTTTTTTTTTAATTAAGGAGAAACATCACCCTGAAACCTCTCTTTCTGCCAGCTTTTTGAGGTTCCACCACAGAAATATGATATTGGGAATGGCAGATTAGTGTCTGGTGAGTTCCACCTTTATGAATGAATCAAACGTAATATTCTGGAGGGATCTGGACACAGTTTGTGTCTCCTCAGAAGGCATTTTACTGGAGCAGCTTGATGATGAAGCTTTTCAAGATCGTTTGTTTGCTTTCTTTTAATAAGTAATCCATTTCTAGAGCTGGTTTAAATGAGAATGACTAAACAAGGCTGCTGGTTAGCACCACTCTGGTGCCAGGTTCAGTCTGTTATTTGGGGCTCCTGCTGCCTGGAGCAGCTCAGGGGGTTTGAAGGTGGCAGAGGTGGCTGAGAGGGTCAGGCTGCTGGTGTGGAATCTCCTGCTTGTTTTCTCTTGGTCCGTTGGGTTGCTGCTTGTGGAGATCCATTTGTTAAACTGAACCTGTGGGCATCATGCACAGCAATCAGAGAGCAACTGTCAAGTGCTGCTGATAAACACCGGCTGTTTTCCAGACTGCAAAACCTCTGTATTTGTCATATGTGAACTCTATGCTGGTGCTTTTTCCTCGTCCATTTGGGGGTTTGCAGGGGAGTTTTGAGCTGCAGCCATAAATATCTGGCTATATTTTAAAATCTGTGACTTGGGACTGACAGCAGAATGTCTCATCAAGATGCTCTGTCAGTCTCAAGCACCTTTTTCTAGGACACTGGGAAAGGTTTTCCAAGATGTGCCAGGAGAATCCTCCCACTGTGTCTTTTTCACACATTTCTCTTTCTTTTTAGGATTCTCTAGATATTATTGGAATGTAACTGTAGAGAAAAATGTTCATTTCTAACAACTCGGTTGTGGACTTCTAATCAGACTTGGATTTCTGGAAATACTACAACATGACTTCAGCTGGGAATGAGATCGAAAGATGGACTCACAGGCAGGGTGGCAGGACTGAGAAGCTGCTAGAGCCTGTGGCCTCTCCTGAAAATGATCACCTTTTGTCAGTGAAGTCAGACAGCAGCATGGACCATCTCTTGCACCTCCCTGGAAGGGCAGACTCTGCTTACAGCTCTTTCTCAGGAGGCTCAAACATCCCAGAGAACCCCACACCACCGTGCCATGGTGAATACATCTGTGTTCCTCCAGAGCAGTCCCCGTACATGGACTCAGAATATGTGACAGGAATTTATAATCTCAGTGCTGCCCACTCTGCCCTCAGATCCCCCCAGCCGTACACGGCACCAGAGCTGAGCAGCTCCCATGGCTGTGGGATTGCTCCTGCCCAGAGGAGTTCAAATCAGGGCCCTCCAGCCCTGGCAGCACCTCTGCTGTGCCCTCCCTCACGCCACGAGAGCTGTGACACCACTCACAGGCACTGGGACAAGGCAGGAGACAGACAGGGCTCTGCAGGGCAGGCAGCTCCTGCTGTGCAGCACCGCCAGCCCGCAGACAGGGATGGACCCTGGAGTCAGCACTGGGATGCACTTACAGAGCAAGATGTAGGGCCTCCTAGGGAAAGGCCTCTGGAAAACAAGGGCCTTTCTTCTGATTTTACAAAGGTATCAAAAGTTCAGCCATTAAAGACAGAGGGAAACGCAGAGTGGAGCCTATCACAACAACCTACAAAGAGAAGCAATCCACACATTTTCAGGAGACCTTCTTCTTTCATTTTCCAAGAATATTTAAAGACAGACTCTGTGGCAAATGTTCCCAAAATACTTTCTGCATGTAATTCAGGTCATGGTAACAAAATTCCCAAAGAGATGAACTCCAAATCCTATCACCAAGCACATTCCAAACCCAGTGCTGTTAATGATACACAGGAAGTCAAACAGTGTCCCAGGGGTGTGTGTAAGGCAGGTGCCAGAGAAGCAGCTCTGCCAAGCACTGTGCCAGGGCCCAGCCAGAGGAAAGAGTCCCTGCCCTGTGCTCAGGGCCCACTCCATGCTGAGTGGCATTCAGACATGGATCAGGACGTGTTTGAGGACAGCTCAGAATTAAAATACATGGAGAATGCTCTTCTAAATAAAAATGCTCCCAGGAAGCTGAACAGTTATGCAGACAAAAATCAGTGCAATGATTCTGAAGGAAAAATTATGAGCAATATTAGGGAACCAGTCCCAAACCAGCAAAACAAAGTGCAGAGATCACCACTGTCCTGCAGCTGCAATGCTGTGGGAGTGGAGCACCCGAGCTGAAACAAATCCAGCACAGTGCACTGGTCAAATACATGGAACGAAAGATCAGTCAAAGGCCAGGGGGGTCACAACACCTCCCACTGCATAAGCCACCCCTGCAGGAGAGACTGTCAAATCCCAAAGGTCCTCCTGGCCACATTTCCAACCCAAATGGAAGCAGGAAGGTGCAAAATGATGAGGTTTTCTGCCAACTTCTCTCTGAACAAAAATCACCAGATGTTTCTCCACCTTTGCCTTTTGCTCCCCCACTGAAGGTGAGCAGCAGGTGTGATCCCAACCAAGGGGACAGGAGCTGTACCAGCAAGTGTCCATCAGCTGAAAGTCTCCCACAGGCAGGGGGTTCTGCAACTGGGAGACTTCCTGAGAGATCAAAATCCACTTCTTCTTCCACACAGGTAAGACACCAGTACCTGAAGGGGGCATAAAGAAGGTCAAGAGGGACACTGGCACTTGAAGATGCATTTGCAGAGAACACGTGCTGTATGCAGAATGAGGCTGTTTGTGCTCTAGCAGTCCCAAAAAAGGTCATTCCAGGGAGAATTTTATAAATCACCTACCTTTTTTGGCTCATGAATTTGAAAGAGAGTAGCTGTCAATATTGTTAAGGAGAATATAGAAGATAAAGGACCAATAAATAAATAATTAAACATGCCACTATAATTAACCTACGGAAGTGACTGACAAATTTCCACCAATGCTGAATTTCTGAATTGTTATGAGAGTAGAAGTATCCTTTGTTGACAGCTGTTTTTTTGTTTTCTAGGGGAAAAATATCAGTGCTACCTAGGAAGAGCATAATAGCAATTTAATTAATAAAAAAGAGATAGACAAAAACATCCCCAAAGATTAAAAAAAAAAAACAACTAACAAAACCCAAACCTTTCCCCCTAGAAAAAAAAACAACAACAACCAAACAAAAAACTACCCAAAAAAAACCCCCCCACAAATATTGTATTTGCGGGGTCCCTCATGGCGGGAAGGAATGATGAATCTGACTCCATATTCTCAGAAAGCTAATATATTATTTTATGGTACTATAGAAAATATCAGTGCTACCTAGGAAGAGCGTAATAGCAATTTAATTAATAAAAAAGAGACAAAAACATCCCCAAAGATTAAAAAAAAAAAAAAAACAACTAAAAAAACCAAAACGTTTCCCCCTAGAAAAATTTCCTATCCTCTAAGCTGAGGGTTGGTCAAATTCTGTTTTTCAGTCACATTATTGTAAATCTGCAAAAAAGAGTCCAATGAATTGATGAGGGTTTTGTAAAAAAAAAAAACAACAACAACCAAACAAAAAACTACCCAAAAAAAACCCCCCCACAAATATTGTATTTGGGGGGTCCCTCATGGCGGGAAGGAATGATGAATCTGACTCCATATTCTCAGAAAGCTAATATATTATTTTATGGTACTATATTATATTAAAGAATACTATTCTAAACTATACTAAAGAATACAGAAAGGATACTTACAGAAGGCTAAAAAGATAATAATGAAAACTCGTGACTCTTTCCAGAGTCCCGACGCAGCTTGGCTGATTGGCCATTGAGTCAAATCAACTCACAGCAGAATCCAATGAAACAATCACCTGTTGGTAAACAATGTCCAAACACATTCCAAAGCAGCAAAACAGAGGAGAAGCAAATGAGATAATAATTGTTGTCCTTTTTCTCTGAGGCTTCTCAGCTTCCCAGGAGAAAAATCCTGGGCGAAGGGATTTTTCAGAAAATATGAATGTGACACACAAACAAACAGAAAAGCTCAAACCTCAGTGAACCTACTTGGAGCTCTACCATCAGCTTCCCTTTCTGGGGATAACAAACAGGGGAGAACATTAAGCAGCTGCCTAAGTGCCCCAGTGTGCTGTTTTCCCTTGCAGGACGCGTGCAGATGTGCCAGAGGTGCAGCAGCACCGGGCCGGCGCTGCGGGAGCTGCCCCAGGTAAGGCTGGGGGCTGTGCTGGCCGCAGCCCGTGTCCCGAGGGTGGGACCCCAGCGCTGCTCCCGCCTTCGCTCTGGGAACCCCTCGTTGTCCATACGGGAATATTCAAATATTCAGCCTTTAAAATCGCTTCCACCGCGGGAAGTGCTCCTGAGCACTGTCCCTGCTCCATCAGATCGCTGGGATCACAGCTCCCTCATCCGAGCCTGGAGAAAACAGCATTTCCAGCAGCTCGGAGATGCCCACTCCTGGAGAATATGTGCAGTCAGGATTGTTGCAATAGGGGATTTTGGTGTGTTTCTTCAAAGGAAAAAAAAAGCTGTGCCATTTGCACATCACTGACTAGGAAGTTTGTGTTTTAACTCTCCGTATTTGTTTTGCTAGTTTGAGGAGCATCAAGGGAAATAAACATCTGAAGTCTGTCTCAGCAAGGCAATGATGTTGACTTTTGTAGTGAAAGAATTCCCACTCTTTCAAAAATATTCCAGTGGTTTCTAGAGACTTGAATGGCTTACGGAAAAAAAGAAATTAAATTTTTTCTTATATTTCCTAGTTTAGCAGGTTAGCATAAAAGTAATTGAAAGTTCCAGACAGAACCATAACATCAGAAACATTGATCATAGCTCTTAAACGGTTTTTAAAAAATCTGTTACAAGAGGGAATGTCTCAAATAAAAGGAACTGTCTTCTTCCTTACAGTTTCCGTGATGCTGAGGAAGATGGACCCAAGAATCATGAACATAGTGACACAACTGGACATGTGTGTGGCCAGGATAAAAAGGAGCAAACTCCTGAAACCCCCCTTCCTGTCCCAAGAGGTGGAAGCAAGGAGAGTGCTCGAGTGGAGGAGGAATGCAGAACTCAGTCTCCGGGTGGGAATGCTGCACTCCAGCATCCAGAGCAGCAGCCTGCAGCTTCTCCAGAGCAGGGAATGGATCTCCATGCAGCACCAGCTGAGCCTCACCAAGGACACAAACATGCAGCCAAAGGTCTCCTTGCCCAGGAAACATCCATGCACAGCAACCACGATGATGTTCCCCTGGACAGGGACACACACCTGCCCCAAAGGAGGCTGCAGACTTCTCAGGAGCAGCGATACCAAGAGCTTGCTATGGAGATCATTGCCAAAGACAGCTCCCTGGTGGACATTCTCATGCCTCATCCTCTTAGAAAAACTGCTTTGGACCTGATGGAGGGTTTGTTTCCTGTTAACATTTCCATGCTGGATAAATCACGCAGGAAAAGGAGAAAGGCACAGCATGTGCAGGAGAATGAGTAAGTAGGCAAAACCAATTATCTAGCACTTTGGTCTGTTTTAATGTAGAGATACTATACATACTGGTATGGTAGTAGTAAGATGAATTTGAGCACATTGTTTCATTTTTGTTTCATTAGAAAACACATCGCTTTCTGATTTACATACCAAGAAATGTCTGAGGGATGCAGTATATCATGGAAGAAAAGTGGTTCAGTGCTTCCTTATTAAAGGGACTGTGACAGACCTAGGCTCTATATCTTCTAGACAATTAGAAGATCTCCTGTGGTGAGAAGAGAGGAGAGTGATCCTGAAGTCAAGATGGATAAAACCATTAATTCAGTATTTGTGAAGAAAACTGTGTTTGCTTTGGGTATTTATTTTCTGTTCCAATAGCAGGAAAAGCCATGGAGGTGGACCAGAAGAATGTCCAAAATCTGAGCATGAAACCAAGCAAAGGAGCAAAGATCCTGCTTCTATGAGAAACCAAGTCCTGAAGAGGAACAGAGACAGCACAAATGAGCTAGATGACATCACATCTAAGAAGGTATGTAAATGACCTTCACAAGAACCACTGTTTTTCCATCATGACAAAGAAATTCTTATTCGTGTCATTATTACTATGGATATTTCACAGGTAACTTTGAATCAATTTTTGCCAGTAGGTGAAGTCCTGGCAAATTGGCATATTGATCATAAGTGGTAGGATTTAAATCCTGCCTGATTTGACTCAGATCTCTCATCTATCATCATTAAAGGTTTCCTTGCACAGCTAGCTCCTGTGCAGCAGCAGCAAACTCCCAATTTAACAGTCAAATCTAATCTCAAAATCTGTAAAATAAATTAGAACTGGCAGCCTAAATAAGAAATATTCTTTACTCTGAGAGCTGGCAGCAGCTTCTGCACGTTCCAGTGTCCAATTAATTCCATACATGCAGAGAATGGGGGGCACAGCTGGACAGTGACAGAAGTATGGATCTTGGAAGGGTGATTATGTAGCTTTGCATAGTTAAGTGGGCTTTTCCCCTGGCCATGCTCCATCTCAGGTAATGACAATCTGCCTTCCTGAGGCTCCTCCTGCTGTGCACATTACCTGCTGGCTAACTGTGCCCCCATTCATGGTGGCACTGTGCAGCTCCCAAAGAGCTGATGGTGTGCTCCCACTCAGGTCTTGAGGCCTTTTTCCATATAATTTCCCTATGAAACAGCCTCCTCTGATTGGCCTGCTTGAACTGCCCATGGAGCTGACTTTTTCTGTGCATATGATAAGTGAAATTCCAATCAGTTCTTCCAAAGCTTGGTGCAGAGCTGGGACTTCATGCTCATGTCTTAGAACAACAACTGTGTGTAATCATGTTGTAATCTTTATTGCAGTTCCCTTCTGACTGATTGGAAGCTCTCTGAGCCAGAGAATATATCACCACCTAAGGTGATTACCAGTAATTTGCTTTTCAGAGTTTGAGAATTAAGTACAGCTTAGAAAATACTGCTGGGTTGGTTTTCTTTTTCCCATTTTTTTCTTTCCTGTAGCTTAAAATTATTTTAAAAGTAAAAAAAAAAAATTGGCAAAGACGATGAGAAGAAAATCCATTCTCTAGAACTGATACGGATTCTCTCTGGCAGTAACAGCTCCTGTAATTTTTTTTGTTGTTGTTTTTGCAGCTGGAACTCATGGCCAGTCTCCAATCCAGGCTGCAGGCACTGTGGGAGGAGCAGGAGCTGGTTCTCCTGGAAGTCAGGGAATGTGCCAAGTGGGGCGAGGAGCTGGAGGTGCTGCTGCGGGAGCTGTGCAAGCCCAAGGAGTTCGAGCGCTACCTGATGTTCATCGGGGACCTGGAGAAGGTGCTGAGCCTCTTGCTCTGCTTGTCCAGCCGCCTGGCCCGCGTCCAGAACGCCCTCAGCAGGGTGGATGGCAGCACGGAGCCTGAGGAGAAGGTGAGAGACAGCAGAGCTGCTGAATTGGTTTGGTTCTCTTCTCCCCAGGTGGGAATTCTTTGTGTCCCAGGACGGGCCATGTCCCCAGCAGAGCAGAGCAGAGCAGGTCCCTGGTGAGGAGCAGGGTACAGTGCAGAGAGAGCCTGCAGCTGGGGGCCAGCAGCAAAACCTTGAGAGGCTCCAAGCCAGAGGGGTGGCCTTTGGAGCCTTGGGCTGCTCCCTGGAGAGTAGCTCCAAACCTGTGCTTTTTGTGGGTTTATTTCTCCATTGATCATTTCATTGCGTTAATTACTGCCTTTGAAATCATATTTCACTGAATGGGTTTGTCCTAGTGAGCAGGAAGGTGTGCTCATAACTTGAGATAAAGCTCACTGTAGTATAACTCAGCTAGCCAGCTTTGATGGAAACTGAGGATTTGTCTCATTCACCAGGAAATAATTTCAACTCTTGCAAAGTCTCCTTTTTGCTGAAGAAGAAAAGCCAAATTTATCCCAGGAATTATGTTTCCCTGCTATGCTTATTGCTCTTAGACATGTTTTTATCAACACAATACTTGCTGTTATCTCTCTTTTGGAAATTGGAAAAGCATAGAGTTAGAATAATTGGGATTTTTTGGAGCTGTGTTGCTACTGACCTGTATCTCTGGAGGTTCATCATAGTTCACACACAGAATAGCACTAAAAAGGTTCTCTCATGCAGTGTGACATAGAGAGCCAGGATTCACCTCTTCCAAAATGTCAGTTGTGTTAATGTGAATAATTTTAAGCAGTATTTCATGCTTACTTTCACTTTATGGTAGGCAGGAAAGGTGTTGTTTCTCTGGTATTACATTTAAGTTCTTCATAGGAAACACATTTAAATAATTTATTCAAATATTTGAATAAAATGCCTGGTAAAGTCTTGGTTAAGTGCCAACGTTTTTAACAGACATCTCCCACTGGATGCATTTGCCCTCATGTCAGCAAAAACAGCAGTCTCAATCTTTTACTCCATTTTTAGGGTGTCAGTAGTGACCGTTGCTCTGTGCTCTATTTATGGACAGTGTCCTGAAACAGAACATTTTCCAACAATGTAATCCCCATGAAAATTATTACAGCTGAATGAGAATTAGGTAAAGGTGAAACGTACAAAAATCCTGTAGAACAAGCAAAGCCCAACTCTTTGAAAGAAGCCTTTGATACTGTCTACATGACAGTTATTTTATCACACTGATGCCTTTCTGTAGTCTTAAAAAATTGAGGGCCAGACACAGTTAAGGGATAAAGGGTTCTTACTTTGGTATTTAAAAAGGATCTTTATGGTGCCCCACTTTGCTAAAGTGGAATGCACTGCAATGCACACACATGGTAGATGGCATATACAATTTATAGACCTTACAAATTAGCATATCTAACAAAGGTGCCCCAATGAGAGGCTTGGAGGAATAGTGTGATCTCCCCCCACCCTGAGGAATTCCCCCTGAGGCTAAATCTTAGTTTCCAGGGTATGTCTACAGAGAACCTTGGTTTCCCAAGATAGTGTAGGGTTTTCCCACCTCCACCTGTGAGGCCTCCAAGGTGTTTGGTATCTTGGCTTAACAGAATACCAGGACTATGCTAAATTGTCAGACTTGAGGAATTACAAGTATGCATGCTAAGAGTACTGAGGATATGTAAAAAGTATATAAAAGGTAGATAAAAGGCAAAAAATCATCTTGGCATAAACATGCACCTTTTAATAGAAGCTACTCTATCTTTTTAATATGATAGTGGCACTCTGGCCACATGCAACACACAAAACAAAAAAATACATACCTTAAAGAGCTTCTAATTGAATGAAGATTGTTACAGGATACTTTAAAGTGACAAGAATGTTAATATTGATTTTTTTTCATGAGGGCAACATAGGAGAAATGAGCCTTGATGGCATTTACTGTGTCTCTACCTTACAAGCCACAAGAATGAGTAATTCAATTGAGAAAAAACTCAGGTGGAACACAAAGCCCACAAGAGGAAGTAATTAAATTAAATTGACTGTGGCTTCCAAATGAAGAAATAGAGCCTGCCAGGAATGATGGGTTCTCATGGTGTGCTGCTTTGTTCTTTGATTTCACCAGCAATCGCTGAATGAACGGCACAAGCTCTTGTCTCGACAGCGGGAAGATGCAAAGGACCTGAAGGAGAATCTGGACAGGAGAGAACGTGTGGTCTCTGGAATCCTTGCCAAATACCTGACAGAGCAGCAGCTCCGGGATTATCAGCACTTTGTTCAAGTCAAGACCTCCTTGCTGATTGAACAGAAGGACCTCGAAGAGCAGATTAAATTTTTCGAAGAACAATTAGAAAATCTCGAGCAAAGCATCCCCATCTAACACCCACCACCAGGCCAAACATTTTTATATGTTATATGGGATGTTTCCCTGGAAATCCACAGGCACTCTTCTCCCAGGGTTCAGTTTGGTGGATTCTTCCAATCCTGTTTGTGCCACAGCACTAAGGTTCAGATGCTTTGGGATGCTCCAGGCACACTCTGACAGCATCTCACAGTGTGTAGCAAACTGCCTTGTGGACATGACTGATAGGATTCATTGCTCCTATTAACTGAATGTGTATTTCCCCTTCCTCTTGTCTGTCCATCTGTTTCCAGACTGACATCATCTCAATAAAAGAACCCTACAAATATTTGCCTCTTGTGGGTGGGTTGAGTGTTTGAAAAGAAAAATTATGTGGGTGTTCAGATTTGAATTGGTGATTGCACAAAGCCATAGAAAATGTTATGGACCATTTCAGTGAAGCTCCTGCACTCATTTCTACTGTTTATATGTGTGACACAGTAAAAATACACTGTAATGAAAGAAAATAATTACTTCCTTTCTTGGCAGTTGTCACCCATGAGTCTTTCCTGGCTCTGTGTAATCCTGGTAGGCTGTTCAGAGGAGGTCAGAAAAAGGGTGATCTTCACTGACATCAAAGAGCCAATCAGTGATGTAGCCAGTTTAAATGAACGGGTTTGGGAATCACAAACTGTGAGCTTATTCCTGCACAGTCATTTGCAAAGTCCTTGCTGTGCTTTTGAAGAATTCATTTTTCAAGCAGCACCTTCAGGACATTGTTTTTAGGAAGTTTTCAATTGTCAGTATGCACAAAAAACCTGAACATGGAGGGGAAAGATCTGCTGCAGGCTGGGCCAGGAGGAACCACTGGAAGAGATTATTCAGTTTCAATGAGACTTTATATAAATCCCTTGGCAAAACTCTTTTAAGCCAGTGTTTGCATTGAGTCAAACCAGTGATGTTGCTGTATGTAAAATCTCACTATGTTTTGTTTGCAAGAATTCAATGAGAACAATATTCAACCTAAACTACATATCTAGACCATGAATAAGGCAGCCACTAATTGAACTCAGGTTTCTTCCACAGCCAAAACAGATGTTCATTGTGCCATGATGATGGCATTTCCTTACCAATAAATGTTTTACTCCTGGCTACAGTAAGTATCCCCACCACTGAGAGAAGCTGTCTGCTCCTGAGGAATCTTTGGAAGTGCATGTCACTGGGCACAAGAACTCTGGGAGCACAGTGACCAAGCTGCCAAGTGTGGTTGTCTGAATACCTGAGGGAAAATGGCCAGACACTGTAGAGCCTGTGAGTAATCTGCACAGTGGTTCTCACGAGGCCAAAAATACAGGCTTTTAATACATAAATCAGAGAGCTGCCTTTTGAAAATGGTCTTTAAAATAACAAAAGCAATGTTAATGGAGTCAGTGGAGAATTTATAAAATATAAACAATGTTAAATGAGCTGTTTACATGATTTGAGAAGCCTGACTTGAAGGTGCACTTTATTCTTATTATTCCTAGTTGAGGGAAAAACACCTGATTGGAAATAGGTGTTTTGTAATTGAAGCTAATGCTTGCTTTTAAGGGGAAAAATGGTTCTGCCCTGTTTAGCTTATCTTTTTAGGGCACTGTGTCATGAGGAGGGCAATTGCTACCCCTTCCACAACAGGCACTCACATGTATGCTTCAAAAATATTATTTTAAAAGAAAAAATAGGCTCCTGTACCAAGTGTTAGATTTAAATTCCAGGCAAAGTGAAAAGTGGACACAGGCAAAGTGAAAAGTGGACACAGTGACAGCATCAGAACCTCTCTGCAGGCAAGCAGAGATCCCCTTTCAAAGCACCAGCAGGTGTGGATTGTCAGGTGGGTCTCAGTTTTGATACTGATCATTTGTTAAAAATTTATCAGGAGGGTAATGGTGAAAGTTGATGCTGGACCTCAGCCATGTGCAGCATTCCTGGCACACCAACATACCAAGTCATGGTTAGTGCTCCTTTCTGCTTGAGTCAGCTGTGGCCTCTGAAGGTACAGACTGAAGCCAAGAAATAGTTTAAGCACATGCTCTTGAATCCTATTGCCTTTTACTGAAAGTTTGGCATTTAGAGCACTAGTTACATCCCCATACCAACACATGGCAGCTTTTTCCCAACTTCAGCTCATGCAGCGTAGAAGGCAGGATGGCCAGAAATGCAGAGCATCTTCATTTTACAGCACTGTGACCCCACACTGCTCCACACAGCTTTTTCTGACCAGTTACCATCAGAAGACAAAATCAAGACCTGAACTCTCAATAGCAGTAACTGGAGGTCTTTTGGGGAAGCAGACCCACAGGGATTATGGAAATAAAACCCAGTGCAGTGCTTGTATATAATTACTGCTCATACCATCACTCGCCAGCCTTCTGTCTGTGACCCCTGCAGCAAAGGCACTGCGTTACCTCTGACCAGAGCCCTGCAAAGTCTCAGCTTCAAGAGACTTTGGCAACGCCCCGTGCTTCTTATGTAAACGAAGTCAGGTTGTGTGAGTGGGGGAAATGCAAGGAATGGAGAAGTTCCCTGGTACCTGACCCTCCAGGAGAGCGGTCAGGAAATCCCCGCCACCGCCCAGCCTCGGGATCCTCCTCCTGCTGCCGCCTGCCAGCCTGATCCTTTCCCAGGTAACACACAATGTGAGCCCGGCTCCATGGAGAATTGTAATCGGAGCGCTGCGGGGAGCTGTCTCCGTGAATTAATGACAGCTGCAGCCTGGAGAACAGCGGGGCTGAGGGGAAGGAAGAGGTGGAAGAGGCAAATGCAGGCGGCCGGCTCTCGCCGTGGTGCGCCGGCGGTGGGAGGCTGGTGGGATTCCAGGAACGAGCTCTGCATCTCGCTTGGCCACCCACGCACGGGTGGCGTGGGGGGAGACTGCGATAGCTCCTGTTGGGCTGTGTGGGCCGGATTTGGGGCTGAGGAGCTGGCTGGTGCTGCCCGGGGCAGAGCCCTGTGCCGTGCGGGAGCGCTCAGGGGCAGCAGCGGCCGGGAGATGTCAGACACAGCCGCTGTCTAGAACTGCAGCTAGCATCCACCGCAGTGTGTGGGAGTCACTGCTGGACCAGCAGCTGCTGCTTCAGCCTTTTGGGCCCTACATGGAAGGATTTTCATTATTTTGTTTGAAACCCCAGCCTCATTTTCTTCACTGGGGCATTATGCTGGGGGATTTTTGGATGTGGAACTAATTAAGGAACAGAGAGCTGCAGGAGTTAATGCAAATGTACTCTGCAAAAAGATCTGTTTCGTGCTTGTAAGAGCTGTATTTAATAAGTAGAAGGATGTTCTCTCTGCTTTGAGAATTCATGGCAACCATCTGAATAAATTTTTTAAAATAAACTCAGAGCAGCATTGCAAAACTAATGTTCTGTGCCTGGAGGGAGCCCACATAGACATTAAGGAATAATCAGCCTGTAGGAATCATGCAACCTCTGGGGTTCACAAAAGGCTCTCAAGAAGCAGCACTTGAATTTCACTGCTAAATGGAGAGAGGCATTAAAGGTTATCAGAGACTCTAAAATACCACATGAGCCTTGAAGCTGAGTCATCTCATGGATAAATCCACAGAGAGACAATATGGGCTGCACTGATAGTCTTGATTTAGAGAAAAAGAGACATTTCTAAAAATGTGAATAAAGACCCAGAGGTCTTTCCAATGGGCTCAGCCCATGGTGGAAGAGTAAGAACATCCAAAACTACCTCAAAAGGGAACCACTTGTGAAACAACCTCTCCAGAGACCCCTGCCCTGTGACAGCTCCTGATGGCATGGCTGGTGCCTGCAGGACCCCTTTTGGGGTCTCAGATGCTCCCTGCTGAGCACAGGGTCAGTGTCACCTGATGTCACAGTGGCTGCTTGCAGAGGTCTGGTCTGGAGCTGGTCCCAGCCTGGAGTGAAGCTGCAGCTCTTTGTTGCAACGGGAAAGCTACCATGGGAAGAAGAAAATACAACCCAAAAAACATGCTGAGAAAGCCTGTCTGTACCACTGCAGTTTGTTATTGTCACCATATTGGTGAATCTTGTTCGTGTGACCATCTGCCTCATGCAGAAGCCTGTGGGTGAGGACTCCAGGGAAGGCCTGGCACCCCAATACCTCCCATCAAGGCCTTGTGTGTTTGGGTATCAGGTTCTGTTCAGTGGAAATGAACGTTATTTGGTTTGTGTCAGCTGTGACTCCACGGTGCTTGCTGTGCTTCTCAGCTGGAGTCTCTTCTTGTCTGGAGGGTCTCAAGGGATGGGGATGAATGATTTTCCTCTTGGGAAATGGTGGTTTGGGTTTGGCTAAGAACTCATGCTTTCAGGTGAACAAAAGTAATGCCCTCCCTGGGACAAACATAGAGCAGAAGTTCTACCGGGAAAGGGAAAGCTGAACACTGCCAGCTTTTTATTGTGCACATCTCTATTTTCTCTTCACAGAAAGGGAAGAAGATGTACTAAAGCTGTGCTAATATTAACAGTATGGATCTATTTTGTGTCGTTCCAGGTAACACAGGCAGTATAAAGGGTCAATGTGCTTAATGACTTGTTTTGTCTTCTAAATTACTGAAATAAACCTTGAAACTGGAATGGAAATATTCTTCAAAAGGACTCAGAGTTTTTGATCTGTGCTGTCCTGCTCTGCCCCTGCTCTCCCCCTCCAGCAAACAAACACCACACTGTTTGTGCTCCTGCTACATGCTGGCCAAGTCCCTATTAACAACCTCTTAATTTGGGGAGTCCCACAATAGTACAAACAACTGGAAAGGGCAAAAACTGCCATGCTGCTATTTTATTCAGATTAATATGCAAATCAGGAGACAAGTACATCCAAGGAATGTAGGTCATGGTGGAAACACGAAGAGAGGGAGCAAGAGATGAGCAATGGGCAATCAGGGGACTGTCTAGAAATGCTTCCTCTACCTCCAGCTGGTGGCTGCAGCTCCCATTGGTCTTTTGGAGTTACTGTGACTCTTCCACTGGACCGTGGGTTTGTGATGAAGCTGAAAGCTCATTAAGACTCCTCTGCAGTGCAGGAACGGGGTTTCCTGGGTTTTCATAGTCCACGTTTCTGTGCAGCACTCACAAGAGAATGGAGACAGCCAAAAATCTCTGTGAGCCTGACCACAACCACACTGCCTCACACTGCTCAAACAGCCACATCCGGGAGGACAAAGTCTGTCCCTTTGTGCAGAATTGTGGTTTAGGGTTTGTTTGCAGAGCTCTTCAGAGCAGGTTTTGGAGCTGATACTCCTCAGAACAAAATGTGCCAAGGAACAGACAAACCAAGTTATCCTTAGCAGGCAGACTGAGCCAGGGTCAGGCAAACAGTAGCTTTCCTGATCCCTAGTGCTGCTGAACTAAAATCAGAGCTAGTTTTCATTTGTGTGGGCGCTCCACAGAATGCGCATTCACAGGGTGGGGGAATGACACTGCTCATGCTGCCTACAGGCCTAAAAACATTATCTTGATTTCAATTTGCATATCAGTACTGACTGTGTGCTTTAAAGAAGTGACCAAGGTGATTATCTACATTTTATAGCAGGACTGAGACATGCTGAGAGGGCAGGCTAATAACCAAGGCAAAATACCACCAAGCTGCTGAGTCCTGCCCCTGTGCCTGAGCTGTGCCTTCCATCTCCAGCCTTCCCCACCACTAAGCCCCCTCCTGGAGCCGGGAGCAGAGCCAGGGGGCCTCAGATCTCTTGGTTTTAATCTTTCCTGCTCTTAGCTTTGACGGTGCCTTGGGCAGCTCCCAGCTCTGGACTGAGCCAGGGATTCAAAGGCTGCTGCCCAGCCCCGGCACAGCCCCTGCCCCAGGCCAGCGTGCTGAGGTAACCCAGTCCTCCTCTCAGCTCTTCCTGTGAAAACACCATGGCTAAAATCCACAGCTGTCATTCATTCAGGTGAAAATCCTACTGCCTTCAGCCACATTTGGGCTTGAAAATGAGAATTAGGCAGAATCAGTCACGCTGAGGGATTCATAAAACAGTCCTGCTTTAGCCTTTTGCAGGAAAACACTCTCATGATCACTCATCACCCTACAGTGTCCCTTCCCACAGTTTAAAGGGCGACATTGGAACCCAAAACACAGCCAGGCTGAAGGACTGGTTTTACTTCTAGCTAAAGGCACTACATATACCTGTAAGATGACAGCAGTGTGTTCTCAATACCTCTCAGTACCTGTCTGCACCTGACGTTGTACTGCACTTCGTGTACTCATCCCAGCCTCCCTAAACACCTTCTTTTCCTTCATCAGCTCGACGAGGAGGAGGAAGGAGCTGAGTCACTGCACAAACTTGCTGGCAGTGCCTGGCCCAGCCTGCCCCACCCACAGCACCTGGCCTTGTGAGCACCTCTGTGCCCCCAGCCTCCTGCCTAGCCTCCAGCACTGCCTGGGGCATGCTGAAGAGGTCCCTTGCTGCTGGCCATTTTCTATCACACCAGCTCATCGCTGCGATGCCTCTGAGGAAGGAGTAATGCAGGATTTTCTTGGTGATATGTGTTGCAATGAAGTCTCATCTCAACTGTGACTTCTCCGACAAAACAAAGAGAAGCAATGAAACCTTCTCCCTACTTTCCTGGGGTGAAATCACAATCATGCTGTCCAGATTAGTCAGGTGGGGTTTTTAAACACAAAACACTCCATCCTTGAACCCTGCCTCTGGCTCACGCAGGCTTGACTCTGAAGGAGCACTAAAGTTCAGCAATGTTGTCTGAACAGGTATCAAGCCTATTCCCATAATTATTGAACAAACTTCTCAATAAGGCCAAGCCAAACTGGAGTGTTTGCAATTCCCACAGAAACAGAACCCTTTCACCAGGCAGTGTCAGTGCCTCAGAGGGAACATGAATGTGCAGACACAAAAAAAAGTTCTATGTCCGTACACTTGGAAAGACTCTTTAGAACAGAGCCCTGTTTTTCCCAGAACTCTGCAAGCTGGCAGAGTGCAGCACAAATCACAGCTTCAAAGGACCACGCTGGTCAATGGTTACACCAACAGCTAGAGCAAATTGGATTTTATTTTTTTTAAACCCTACTCCAGATATAGTAGTCATGAGGTGCTTGATCATTAACCTCTGCTTAACAACTTAATTAGTTCAATCCAGAAGCAGACCGGTGCAGAATAATGCAGTCTCTTCCTAGAACAGGTGCATCAGAGCTGGCTGCAACCTCTGATCACATTCCCAACGAATGTCACCAACTCCAGGAACTTCAGGGAGAGTGTTTTGAAGTAAAGAGGGCAGTGCCTCCATCTTCAGTCCTACAGCATTCCTTGTGAGTGTTTAGGACAAGCCAATTAGAACCAATTACAAATACTAGGTTTAATGCAAGGCAGAAAAAAACAAAACATTCCTGAAGTCACTGACCTGGAAGGAAAACAAACTGCAAAGCATGCAAACTAGTGTTTCAATGCAGAAACCCAAACAGAGCCAGTGCAGCATTGCTCTCACCTTCAGCACCTCTCAATGGTACAGGTTTCTATCACAGTTTTAAAGAAAACGTGCTGGTGTAGCAGACTTGTTCCAGAAGTCAGATTCTGTTCACAGCTCTTTGCATTAATTTTAACCAAGCAGTAATTAAAATAATAATAGTCTTAGTGCAAACCTAACATGCAGTTAGCATGCTTTTTGAGCTATATGTAGTTCTATATATAGAACAATTACGTTTATCATTTAAAAGAAGAAGAAGAGTTCGTTTTAGGTCAATGATTCAGGCTGTTGAGATAAATGCTGCTTCAAGAGGTCATGCAGAGGTTCTATCATGAAACACCTAACATTACATAAAGCCCCATGTTTATAAATATTTATTGTAAATAGGTCAAAAGGGGCCAAGTTTTAAACAAAATAATCAGACATACAAGCCTAACTTTGTTTCCAGTTGGCTACTCAGAAACTCTGAGAGATCCAATTCCCAGTTTTTCAGTTCAATTTTTCACAATCAATAAGGTTCTTTATTCAGCTTAAGTCATTGAACAACAGTGAAGTTTAAATGTTCACAGTATTGTCAAGACATGTGGTAAGTACCACCTGGTCAATAAGTCTTTCAGGAAGAGAGAAAATCTTAAACCACTAGCCAAGCTTTCCAACTGAGGTAGACAAGTCATGGTGACGTGAGTGCTGAAGGTCAGGGTCTATCTTTTAAAGTAATTTAGCTAATAAAATGCATCAGGCAACAATTGAGATTGTTATGTTAGTATTTCTGATGTGAAATACTGAGGGAGTGAGAAGCTCTCAAAGTGAGAAACTTTGTTTTTAAAAAGTATACCATTTTTGTAAATAGAAATATCCTTCTTCTACTACCAAAATATTCAGAAACATCATAGAAAACTATGCATCTTTCCTCTGATAATTTAATCCTGTTAGATAACAAGCCTTGTTAAAGTAGCCAGCTACCAGCTTGGTGTTCACAGTGTAAAATATGCAATCCTTCACTTGCTTCTGCCCTCCAGCTGAACACAGATCAAGAAGGCTGTACCTCAGGCATTTTTACCTGTCCACACACACATAGGCTGTTAGTTTTTCAACCATTAGGTGCAAAGTCTGTGGTCTCCACCAACAGACCAGCACGATGGTACACACAGCATGGACAGCTCTTCTGGCAGCTCCCTTTCCACAGGCACCTGGGGCTGGGCTCCACGCTGTGGGCTCTGGATGTACACCCTACCACTGATTCAGTTAAAAACCCAAAAAGACAGACACAGACAGAAAAAATCCAAACTCTTCTGCAAGAGAAAGCTGAGACAGCAGCCGTGCTATTAAACCATGTTGATCACAGTAAGGCAGAGGCTAGTGGCCAAAGAACAGCTCAGAAACAGGTCTGCGTTTCACGACAACCTCTTCCTCCTCCTCCGCTACCTCAGAGAGTGAGGAATATGAAGGGAAGCCCCCTCTGATCTTCGGCTTCCTCCTCGGGCCCGTAGTGGCAGTCAGAAGCTTGTTTAAAGTTGAGGGCCTCCTTAAACCTTTGGTGAGATCATAGAAAGCCATGTCATCGGATATGACTCCCAGGAAAGTGCTCGTGGAGCTCAAGATTGAAGCCGCAAGCTTTGTAGACTTCTTGATGGGCACGGAGTGTTCCATGTTTTGGGAAAGGCTGGGGTCCCCCAGCAAACGCCTAATTGTAAGGGATGTCCCTTCCTTTAAGTACTGGTGCGGCTTCTTCCCACTGTAGTCCCTCAGGTCAATCTTGGCGTGGTAGCTGTAGACGAGCATGGTGATGATCTTCTCCTGGCCGTGGATAGCAGCCAGGTGCAGCGCCGTGTAGCCACCGTGCGACCTGGCGTCCACATTGACGCGGGACCCGCCCTTCTCGGCCGCCCGGATGATGTTGGTCACCATGTCGCAGTTGCCGCTCTTGGCGGCCCAGTGCAGGGCGGTGAAGCCCGAGATGAAGTCCCTGCGAGCCGCCAGGCTGGCGTCGCCCAGCAGCAGCCCGTGGAGCTGCTGCGTCCACTGCCCGTCGGCCGCCAGCACCAGCCACTGGTGCTCCGCCTGCTCCAGCGGCACCACCGTCTCCTCGCTGGCCCGGTGGTTCTTGGCCCCCCTCCGCAGCCCGGGCGAGCGGGACCCGGCCTCCTCGTCCAGCGGCGGCGGGGACAGCGGGCTGGGCTGCTCGGGCGGCCCGGCGGCGGCGGGGGCCGGCACGCAGCGCACGG